ACGCAGCTAAAGAAAGTATCACTCAATCAATAAAGGGAGATATGTTTGTGGCTCAACGAGCAGTAAACATACAAGTTAGGCCCGAAGATAACGATTAGAGGGAAACTATTTTTCACTGTAGATATCTAGTCAACAGAAAGGTACATAGTGTGATAATTGATGGAGGTAGTTATGCTAAAATTGGTACCACCTTATTAGTGGATCGAGCATGATTAACTTGCAAACAACATTCTAATATGTACAAATTACACTGGTTTGATGAGAGTAAAGAGATCAATGTCACTAAGCAAGTATGTGTTCCATTTTCTATTGGTGACTACACATATAAAATATTATGCGATGTGGTTCCCATGCAAGTACGACACCTACTGCTAGGCAAACTATGGCAATATGATCAAAATGTTAGCCATAACAGTGAAATGAATTAGTACTTTATTCGAATGGGTAACCTCACCCATGTTTTGACACCTTTGTCAATGAGAGATGCTTATGAAGACCAGCTCAAAATTAAAAAGTCATATGATGAGTTCGCTAAAAGACAGATAAAGAAAGGCTAGGGTTCAAACTAAGTCAAAAGTTGTTTTTTTAAAAAAAAAAAAATAACCCGAGCTCCCCTCCAATTGTCAAAAGTTGCTTCTTTATAATCAATGTAGATTCAAGGATGAATCCTCTCGAAGAAGGGGGGATGATGTAATAGCAACCGAAGACATACCTAAACTAGTGGAAGGCAGGAAGTGGGTTAGTACTGATGACCTTTCAGGAAACGAAAAGAAATATTTGAGAAGCAACAGTACTCAAGACTATTCTATCCCAGGCCAAATATCAAACAATGAGGCCGAATCCACAAAATAAAAGCCCAACCTAGGATGAAATGACACCAAAAAGTGCTAGAAACCTGAAGGATAATCGGCCTCACCGTTGAAGAATGGCTCGGCCCAAAAATCCCAACCCAAGAAAAAGGCCCAAATGTTGTCTGGGTGTGGATACCCATGGGGTCCACCTGCGTCGCAAAGTATGTATGACATACTTGGCCCACATGTCTGCTGGTATTCCAAGGACCTGTAATGACTATAAGCTACAGGAAAATAGGAGGTAGAAAAATTTTTATACACATGAGCACAGATCCCCACGTGCCAGCAAGGTTGCTTGCATAGGATGAAATGACACCAAAAAGTGCTAGAAACCTGAAGGATAATCGGCCTCACCGTTGAAGAATGGCTCGGCCCAAAAATCCCAACCCAAGAAAAAGGCCCAAATGTTGTCTGGGTGTGGATACCCATGGGGTCCACCTGCGTCGCAAAGCATGTATGACATACTTGGCCCACATGTCTGCTGGTATTCCAAGGACCTGTAATGACTATAAGCTACAGGAAAATAGGAGGTAGGAAAATTTTTAGACACATAGGCACGGATCCCCACGTGCCAGCAAGGTTGCTTGTATATGTGTTGAGCGTGAGGCCCAACCAGCACGCCCCATGAGCGCGTAAGCACACGCATGCCCACATGGACCACATGCCCAGTGCATAGCGGTGCCCAGAGCCGTGGTCCACTGGCCCGCACGTGGGCAAGCCCATGAGGCCAAACGAGCGCTAGTGTAGAGGCTAGGCCAGGCGCATGCCTAGCAAGCCTGTGCCCCATGTGTAAGCCCAACTTGTAGCCCTATTTTCACATAGCTTGAATGACCCGCTAGGCCAGCCTACACAGTCCCCTTGACCAATTTTCTATCCACCATTTTTCAATATTTTATTTTATTTTAATTCCTCTTGGACCCCGCTTTAATTTCCCTATGTTTCAATTAATTTCCACATGTTATAATTAATTTCCCCATGTAAAACACATGGGATAAAGCCTAGCCCATTTTTATTATTATTTTAATATAAAGTCTATCCATATGATTATTTTTATTATTTATCTTGTAACTAGATTAGGATCGACTATTATTTTATTAATTTTTCATGTAGCTGTGATAATTTAAAGCTATCCCAAGAAAGCCTATAAATAGGCATTTACCCATAGGTTGTAAAGACAATCATTTTAAGAGAAATAATATATAAAGCTTTAAGTTTTCTTTAAGAATTAGCATTTTTCCAATCTTCTTTAAGCTTCTTCAAGTTCTTCAAGAGGTAGGAGGAGTCTTTAGAAGTCTTGTTGAGCCAAGGAGTGGGGATCAACTTATCTTTAAGTCTGTGGCATTTTTCCTTTTCTTATTTTGTTTTTTCCTAATCTTTGTTTTTGCATTCCTTTTAGGATTGTAGATCCAATTAGAGAGAGGGATTTTAAGGCTGTTAAGTTTTGGTATTGCATATGTTGAGTGGGTTATAAGAGTGGTTCGATCCTCCCCACATCCTCCCGCATTAGTATTTTAATTGCTTATAAAATTATTCACCATTAAATGCGTGTATTTCGTTTGTGAGTGAGAGAGATACTTAAATAGGTAGTTGGTACTAAGAGAGGATTATAACTCGATGCCATTTTAGATTACTACGTTAGTGACCGTAATGTTCAAGCCCAGTCAACCATTCTATGCAGTGAACCGGAAATGCTACATTCCAGAAACTTGAAACTGGTTCAAGGTAAATCCAAAAATTTGGGATTTTGTATTTTTTAATAGTCACTTAGTTAGAATTAAATTATCTAAAGAAAATTGAATAATTTAGATTTAGAATTAATTAGGACTTACGTTTTAGGAAAAAATTGAATTTGCATGCTTGTTTGGGGTTGTTATTTTGAGTGTAATCGAGCCTTAGTCTTTTAGTGAGGTAAGTATATTTAGTAGCTATCACAAAGCCACATTCACATATTTTTAAAAAATATTTTCAAAAAATATTCTCAAACAAAAACTTAATTAAGTTTTGAAAAAGATTTATAAAATTAATAAATCAGGATTGATAACCAAGGGAACAATTCGAAAGTGATGACATTAAATGTTTTTCACTGTCATTTTCTTGTTGCCTGATTGTTGAGTGAAGATTGCATGTTTTAAATAATATTATGATGGGTTTGATGTCATGATGAGTTTGAATAGTTTGAGTAGAATAGTAATAATGGTGTACATTCACCAATAAGATCATGAACACATAAAACAATTCTCATAAATAAAATAAGATCAACAAAAAAGTACACATTTTAAAATAAAATTAGGAATTCAAAGTAAAACCAATAAAACTTAAAAATAAAAAATAACAAAAGCATCAAAATGTAAATAATAAACAAAAAGACAAATAAATAAAGTAAAATAAATAAGAAAATGTATGATTAAAGGGAGTTAGTGAATAGTTTCATAAGGATTGTAAAGAGACAAATAGGTAGAATTAGAATAGTATGACCTATAGAGCATGATTAACTAAGAAAGTATACAAAGTCTCAAGAGAATATAATCAGTATGTTAGAAAAATTATAACACGAATAAATTTACAAATAAAATAATAGAATTAAATATTAAAACAAACAACAACCAATTAACCTTAAAAAATAAAATAACTATACAAACAAGAACAAAGAAAATATAAATATTTGAAAGAAGTAAAAACCTAGAGATAACTCGTTTAAGATTGGTATGACTGAAATTCAGTAGGGTGGTGAACCATATCCTTGGGTGGATGGAAACCCTTTCAGACATGGTTGGGGTGTGTGCTATGTTCTGGGTCACCTAGTAATGGAATATTGTGACCAACGTACATGTTTTGGCTGTGTGTGTGCATTTTTTCTGATAGTGGGAGCCTTAATCCCATAACGTTACTAATTAGATAACAGATACATCTATTTGACCTTAAAGAAAACTCTAAAATTTTAAAAACTTTGATATGATGATTGTGTTATGGAAAATTGAGAATCGAGATTACCCGAGATTACCCACTAAAGGGTTACAAATGTCTTGATTTAGCTAGAAATATATAAGAAATTCTAGTATGTGGATTTAAGGGATAAGTATGGATTAAAGGAAAGCTTATGGATAAATATGGCGATTTGGGACCGAAGATGTGATGAGATAATTGTGTGATATATAAGATGCTTAGAATTAAGGAATTAAGAAATGAAGAAAATAAGGGGGATAATAAGGGATAAAATGGTTAGTTGGAAATGAGAGGAATAAATTGATAAAGGAGTTTTATGAGATAACTAGCAGGGGGAATAGTAAGGGAAAAAGACTAGTTAGATTTAGGAGGGAAAATGAGGGATAAATTAAGAAATTGAATTTCTCTGCATTTCATGATTTTTAAATAAAAAGGAAAATATAATTTTTATATTTCTGATTACCTGTATGTTGGTATATCACATGTGTAGTCTACTCGATATACTTACTAAGCTCATTGTTTTACTCATTCCATTCAAATTCTCATCTTTTTTTATACCAGAGAAGATGAATATTAGTACCTAAATTAAAATGTTTGCATTTTGTTTTGTTTAAGTTATATTTATTTTTGACTCTATAGAATTTTGTAACGTCATAAATATAATTTAATATTAAGTTATATACAAGGGATAAATGGCTTCTATATATTTTAGTTTAATTTTATGTTGTATTTATCTGATTCAATTGTGTTTGGCAGCATGGTTTCTCGATAAAGAACTATAGACCGTCACACAAAAACTTAGAGACAACACGTTTAAGATTGGTATAACTAAAATTTAATAGTGTGGTGAACCTTATCCTTAGGTGGATGGAAGCCCTATCATTATTAAATTAGAAATTATGATTTTTAATATTTACGAAATTAATTAAATTAAATATTATGAAATAAATATAAAAACAAAAAAAAGGAAAAAAAGGTAAATTAGGATTAAAATTTCACAATTAAGTGAATGATCAATCAAATAAAAAGGGGTGCATGTGAGATTGAAGCATGGGAAAGAATAGGAAAGGGGATAAGAGTGGCCACATGGTCACCATGCAAATGGATGGGGATATTTCCTCCCTTTCCCAACTTGCCATGTTGTTTAAATTAATCCACCTCACCATTCCTTATCCCTTTCCCATTATATAAACACCCAAACAACACATTTTCTTCTCTTTTAGTCCACCAAACAAAAGAAAAAAGGAAGGGGGAAGAGAGGGAAAGAAGAGAGAAAGAGAGTCGAGAACGCTTGGTGTGACAGAGGGAAGAAGAAAAAAAATGAGAGAGGACACCGCAGGTGACCTAACCACTATGAGAGGGGGGCTTTCATAGCCAAAAGGAGCTGTAAAACTGAGACACTTCCAGGTCCTTTTTCCTTGCAACTTGAACATTCAAACGTAAGTTCTTCTTCTTATTCTTTTGTAATTTACTTTTTAAATATTTTTGAGTGGCATGGATGATGTTTAAAATAAATATATTTTGGATGTACTTTATTTTAAGTAAAAAACTTAAACTTAAACGAAAAGATAACGAGAGTTTGGTGAGTGAGAGGGTGATTAAAATTAAGTTATATCCCTAAATATACATATTTTATATAGGATATATGGTGTGTATATATATTATGCATATGAGATACACATATATAAATTATAAGGAATATGTGAATTTATAAATTATATTCATTTGCATGAATTTAGTATAAATGTATAAAGAGAAACAAATATATATACACTGTGTATGTATATTTTCCATGCGTATATAAATATCTACATATAACTACCTATAAATAAATGCATGTATGGGTATATATATATGATTAAAATAATAATTTGTATGCATGTATAATCTGTATGTTTTAATAAGTATTTATACATGTAATAATATAAATAATATTGCATGAAGGTATATATATATATATAAAAATAACAATAATAAACGTTATAATTATAGTGATAAAATTTATAATATGGCGTAAATTATTAGAGCAGAAGAATATGATAAATGAACAAACGTAGATAAAAAAATGTGTATATTATAAATATATATGTAAGTATGGTGTATTTGTGTTCAATATAATAATAAATGAATGTATAGTTTATATATATAGAAATATGTTTTAATCAAAATAAGTATAATTAAGGCAATATATACATATATGTCATAAATATAAAAGGTACTGTGGGGAGATTTTTATACATAAGTAATGTCATGAGCTTTATAATTATAGTTATATAATTGTATCGTATAATATAATTTAAAAAAAAAAAAAAGATGAAAGAATGTGATATATATATGCACATAATGAATGGGTATGTGTTGTGTGTGTATATATATATAAGCATATGTATGCATGTAGATATATATATATATATATGGGAGAAGAACAAATAATTTAAGATTTAATTAAGAAATAGGTAAATGGTGATAGTTAGGAGAGTTTAATTTGATTGAATACGTAATTAAGGGGAATTGAATTTAATTGAATAAATAATTAATTAGAATTGAATTTGATTGAATAAATGATTAATAAGAATTAAATTTGATTGGATAAGTAATTAATGAGCAAATTAATTTAGCCATAATCTATAATTTAAAAAATAGGAAAATAATATTTTGAAAATGATTTCTTTTGGAATTGAACAAATAATAGATAAAAAAAAATAATCAAAGCAAGATTAATATAAAACCAGAAGAAAGTAATATTTAAGAAACTATGTAATTAATCAAATAGAAAAAAATAAAGAAAAATTAAATTAAATGACCGCATTATTAACTAGAATAGTTGTAGAAATTAAATGTGCATGCAATAGGATTGCATGAAACTCTTGGTTTCATCACTGACCCGAGAAGACATAATTGCTGTGCAGATTTTCTGCTAATTTTGGGATATGTTTGGAACTCAAATTAAAAACGTTTCGCTCCAAAGTCTGTAAGTATATTTAATAACCAATCCGAAGCTTTCATATAATTATTTTAAAAAGTGTTTTCATTATAATTTTATGAAATTAAGAGAACATAAATAGGTAAGGGTGATTTGGTCTGAAAATAGAATTTTAGTGATTTTTATAATTTTCATACTCATTTGCTTGCTGATGGTTGTGAATACTTAGTTGCATTTTTTGTATATTTTTGAATGTGTTGGGAAAATTGAATAATTATCAATCATCAATAGTTTCATAACATTAATGAGAATATGATAAAATCAAATTTCCCTTGTGTCTATTTCATTGCTGACGCATTGGTGGGAAACCCTCCATGTTGGTGGAAATCCCCCTAAGTGGGAAAAGTTCCCCATGTGGGAGAAACCCCTCAATATAAAAAATAAACCCAATAGGAAAACCCAACACCTGTTGTGAATACTCGACCCGTTTTGGTTCCAGTAAAGTTAAGAAGTATCATGCTATTATTCTAGCATCTATACCTTCGTAACCCACTAATAAATGCTAGCTTATGTTTATTTTGTTAAGAAATTTCAAATATATGATAATAACCGACATGAAAGATTTATAGGTTTCTTAAAGTTTTTGGATTAGTCCTTTTTTCTATCTGTTCTAGCATGCATCTATTTATACTCTCTGTTTAGACGTACTTGAAGATGGTGTCTTGATACTGTAATAGATGATATCGGAGAGGCGAGATGTGAGGGAACCGTCTGAAAATGGCAAAACTGTAACACATATGTATACATATGTACATACTTATATATTAGTGAGAAGGTGTGTGTTCATTCGGTGTCCAAGATACCTCGTGTGATAAAAGAGTGCTTGAAATATAATAAATATGAGTGAAAATAATCAAAATATATGCAGCAAAAAATAAAATCTCTTACAATAAAATTTGAGATTCAAATTTTACAATTGAGACCAAAAAGATGGCTGCTAAAATATATATAGAAAAAGGTTATGGAGAGCCACTTCTTCCATTACAAGTTGGTTTCATCAAAGTGCAAATAGATAAAGCACTCCTAATCTTCATAAAGATCTGTGAATAGATCCAAACAAGCTTTAAGGGGCAACTCAACAAGCGAGTCATCACTTCCATCATCTAAGGAGAGATATGGATTGGGGTTATATAACTTAATAAGAAAAATAGTATTTGTACTATACTACTAAGGTTTACAAAGCTCATTAATTTTAAAATAAAATGCCTTTACTTAAATGAATGATTTACCTTTATAATTCGTCAAAGAGTGGGTTTATTTTTAAATATTAAAAAAACCTTTATCTTTCTTTTAAAAACCATTAAAACATTGATATTATAATAGGACGTAAGAACTAAGTGGAAAACAAGATAACAAGACACAACCAAGTAGTGTAATTAAAACTATTTGAATCAACTAAGAGCATAAAGAGATCATGATAAAATAGAAAAGAACATATCATACAAAATCATTATAGCATGACATACCAAAAAACTATTCTAGTCATGTTATCAGATAGTTAAGTTTTATTTACGTCTTTTATAAATCTTTGTGTGAAGCTGTTCTAACTTATATCAATTCAGGGCAGAAGGGATCCCCAAACTATCAATGTGAATAACAAACATATTTATTTACATATCAATCATACAAACTTAGGTCACATCCGTACTTTGCTATTGTGACCTCTATAGATTAGATAAGATCAACGACCACGGGTGTACTTGGCCACTGTGGCCTCCTACAGATCATATTGTGAATCCACTTTCATTCGAGGGAACACAATCTCATTCACAAGGAGCGATTCACCAACATATTAAGATATAGATTCAGACAGAAATAGAAACTCCTCAGAGATAACGATCAAATAAATTTTCCATTGTTTTCTATTTCTTTTACTAATTTTCTTTTAGAATAATCACATATTTAGGACCTGATGGGGTCTAATAACATATTCTGGCACAAAGGCTCATTCTACATAAACTTGGCCATCAGATCGTCTTCTCGAGCCAAGACCTAATAGAACGACCCTCTCCATCATTACCAAACATAAAGTAAAGGGCCAAACCCGCACATACTTCAAATCATCATGTGTTGAGTCAATCATGCATTTTATTTCATATGTTCATACTCATGTAAATTAACAACCAATCACATTTTAAATCCATGCATCAAGATCATTTAAAATCTCAAGTTAAATTATCTAAAAAATTTACTTACGAATGTATGAGAAAATACTTAAGAAATTCCTTACTAAAATCTTAATCTTTTCCATTTCGGTTTATTTTTTGGGAGGAGAAAGGAAGGTTTTTTGGTAGAGTCCTTGCGTGAAGTAGTTTTTCTGAAATTTTTAATGAATAAAGAGCTTAAGGATAAAAAGTTATAGTGTAAAGAAAACAAAGTAGGAAAGAAGAAGAAGATTTACCGTGTGAAGATCGAAGGCTTTCTAGTTTCTTCTCAAGACTTTTTCTCTCTCTTCTTAGCTTTCTCTCTCTAAATTCTCTCTCTAAATCTTTGGTTAAGAGAAGAAGAAAGGAAAATGGAAGGAATGGGAGAAAAAAGGAAATGGAGAAAGCTTTAAATAGCCATGGAGGAGAAATACATGTTTGTCACATGGCGATGTGCATGGTTGACACGTAGAAGCATGTAGAGGAAGAGCAGCTGACAACGATGACTTATGAGAGGCGACGAGACGAACGACTAATGAACTTGATAGCTGATCGCATGGGCAGCTGATGAGATGTGCGCTATCAGTGTGTTGGCTGGCAGTAGTAGCGGGCAGGTGTGTGTGCTAGCATGCACGTGCAGACACCTGCGCACATAAGTGCAGAAGTGCACGATGTGATTGTGCGACATGACTGCGCGAAGCCACGTGCGATGTGACGTCACATGCTGCGCATGACATGACGAGCTTTTAGACACGAGCATGATCTGGCTCGCGCACGTGCGTATATGCACTAGCTCGCGGTCTCTCGGGTTCGCGTGCTCGCTAGCTCACTGGTTCATGTGCGTGTGGGCTCACGGGCTATTTTTATGGTATGCAGGATTTTTCCCCATCATTTTTCACTTTTCTGATTTTCTTTTTTTTTTCTTTTAAAGAGTTAAAATAATTTTTGAAAAAAACACAATAAATTAAAAATAAATAAATAAAAATAAGATAAATTCTATAATTTAATAAAACAAAATATTTAGATTAAAAATACTCACAAGTGAAGTAAATTCCAAATTTCTAATAGATCTTTAAACTAAATGTTAAAGGTCGTAATGCTTGGAAAATATAGAATTTAAAACACTTCATGTGAATAGAAAGTTTTTCGGGGTGTTACAACAAATATTTATAAATAAATTTGTTTAGGTGTGTGTGTGCAGGTGTGAGTCTATCCATATATGTGTATGAAAATGTGTGCGTTTTGTGGAGTTATGTATATGTAGAAAATTTTGTATGTAAATATATGTGTCTCCGTGTGAATATATGTAAATGTATAAAAATGTGCAAGTGGGTATATGTATGCATATATATAATCTGTTGTGTGTATGTAAAAATTTGTATATATATAAATCTGGGTGTGTTTAGATGCATGTATATATATATATATATATATATGTAAATATATATATAAAGTTGTGTGTACATGTTTATATAATATGTATGGGTATATATGATTAAAATAATAATTTGTATGCATGTATAATCAGTATACTTTAATAAGTATTTTTACATGTAATACTATAAACAATACTGCATGAAGATATATATATATTTAATTAACATAATTAACTTTATATTTATAGTCATAAAAGTTATAATACGGTGTAGATTATATGTATGGGTGTATATGATCAAAATAATAATCTGTATGCATGTATAATCGGTATACTTAATAAGTATTTGTACATGTAATAATAAAAATAATATTGTATGAAAGTACATATATATATATATATTTAATTAACGTAATTAACGTTATATTTATAGTAATAAAAGTTAATATGGTGTAAATTATAAAAATAGAGGAATATGATAAATGAATAAACTTAGATAAGCAATGTGTATGTATCATAAATATGTATATATATATATATGTCTGTGTATACAAATATATATGGGGAAAATTTAAATGAAAAAATTTTAAGAGAAAAAAGAATTTAATAAAATTTAATTTCTCAAATGAATATAAGAAATTGTTAAAAAGAAGAACAAATAAATGAAAGAATTAGAAAAATAAATGAAAATTTTAAATTAATAATCAACGAAAATAAAAGTTGGATATAACTAGTAGGTGAAATACAAAAAGAATTATGTAAAGCTAAGAAGATACAAGTATTAATAATTAAAACAAAATTTGGAATAATTAAAGAAATTAACATTTAGTAGATATTAATGATTCAGAAAAAAAAATATATCAAGGAAAATTAAATTGGATGAATGCCCTTAGTAACTAGAATAGCATAGAAATAAGATGGGCATGCAACATGATTACATGAAATTCTTGGGTTCATTGCTGATCCGAGAAGGCTTAGTTGTTCTGCAGGTTTTCTGCTAATTTTTGGATGGTGTTTGGATATCAAATCAGAATCCATTAACTTTAAAGTTTGTAAGTATAATTTGTAACTAGTTCAAAACCTTCATATCATCATTTTTTTACAAGTGTTTTCATTATAATTTTATGAAATTAAGAGCATACAAATAGGTAAGGGTGATGTGGTTTGAAAATAGAATTTTAGTGATTTTTACAATTTTCATACTCATTTTGTTGATGATTGTGAATGTTTGGTTGCATTTTTTGTATATCTCTGAACATGTTAAGAGGATTGAATAGATATGATTTAAGTTAGAAGGAAATAAAAATTTTAGTGGAATGTCAATTTTGGAAAAATTAGGGAGTTAGTAGGAATTAGGCAAAATAGTTGATGAATAAGACTTAAAAAAATTTCAAAATAAAAATAAAATGCATCAAGCTGATAAAAATAAAATAAAACAATAATAATATATTATAAATAATAGCAATGAT